TCTCTTTCTCCTTCCCGTCCTCCCTTTCTTTCTCTCTCTTCCTCCCTCCCTCCTCTCTCTCTTTTGACAGACTTTCACTCTGTTTCCCACAATCTTGCATCACTTTAGATTCTGCCTCCTGGGTTCACATGATTTTCCTGCCTCAGCCTCTGGAGTAGCTGGGGCTACAGGTGCCAACCACCACCCTTGGCTAGTTTTGGTATTTTTAGTAGAGATGTGGTTTCACCATGTTGGCCAGGCTGGTCTTGAACTCCTGGCCTCAAGTGATCTGCCTGCTTTGGCCTCCCAAACTGCTAGTGCTACAGGCATGAGTGACCACACCTGACAGAAGTAGGGATTTCTTCCTTTTTTTTTTTTTTTTGAGACGGAGTTTCGCTCTTGTTACCCAGGCTGGAGTGCAATGGTGCAATCTCGGCTCACCGCAACCTCCGCCTCCTGGGTTCAGGCAATTCTCCTGCCTCAGCCTCCTGAGTAGCTGGGATTACAGGCACATGCCGCCATGCCCAGCTAATTTTTTGTATTTTTAGTAGAGATGGGGTTTCACCATGTTGATCAGGATGGTCTCGATCTCTTGACCTCGTGATCCACCCGCCTCGGCCTCCCAAAGTGCTGGGATTACAGGCTTGAGCCACTGTGCCTGGCCCGGGATTTCTTATTAGAAAATTTATACTTGCCACTTTAAGCACAGGACCTGTACAAAAGGTATCACCATTGAATTAGTCTGTTTCACTTATAAACTATAATTAGGATTTCAGTCTGATGTGAAGCAGCTTAAAATGGCATCACACTGCCCTGCTGATCCTTCCCTAGTTGAGACAGAAAGACAAGTTTGGGAGCAGAAAGTAGAAATAAGTATTTTCAATTCTCCTTTATTAACAATGACACAGGCATTCATCAGCATAGACAATTAAATAAAACTAAGTATTCCCGATTTCTTCCTTCTCCAAATCATGGCTTATGTCTAATTTCACTAACAAGGAGGTAATGATTTGCATCTAAGAAAGGCTAGAATATTGAAAAAGAAGTCCATGGGAGAGCAGGCACCAAATCTAGGGAAGTACAGTGAACTGCCTGGGACCAGCAAACTAGGTAGCAATGGGATAATATTAAGAGACAACTGTGCCAGGCGCGGTGGCTCAAGCCTGTAATCCCAGCACTTTGGGAGGCCGAGGCAGGTGGATCACGAGGTCAAGAGATCGAGATCATCCTGGTCAACATGGTGAAACCCCGTCTCTACTAAAAATACAAAAAATTAGCTGGGCATGGTGGCACGTCCCTGTAATCCCAGCTACTCAGGAGGCTGAGGCGGGAGAATTGCCTGAACCCAGGAGGCGGAGGTTGCGGTGAGCCGAAATCGCGCCATTGCACTCCAGCCTGTGTAACAAGAGCGAAACTCAGTCTCAAAAAAAAAAAAAAAAAAAAAAAAAGAGACAACTGCTTAACCAAAAAAATGAAAAAACAAGTTCTATTGAGAGAAGGAGGCAAACTGGTAATGTCTCTGAATTCATAAACCATACAATTTAATTTGTAATGACTTGACAGAATTTTCTTTTCTTAAGCAAATTCAGTCATGCAACCTCCTGAGTGAAGCAATGTGCTCTGACCCATGGTTTCTATAATTCCATTTGAAGATTAGAAAAGAAACACGGAACTAGAAAATTGCACACTTCTTGAGTACTTACTTAATCCTAGGCCTGAGGCTAAGAACTGTATACTTCATTTAATCCCCCTTAAAACCCTTAGAAGTATGTATCATTTCCCAATTCACTAGTGTGGAAGTTGAGACTGAAAGGGCCCCCACCATAAATCCCACGATTAAGCTGAAATTCAAATTCAGGCCTAACCCAAAAGTTTGTGGCCTTTTATGCCAACATATTGTCATCCCTAAGTGAGATGTCAGAGGTGATCTAGCCCACGTCTTAATGATAGTGGAAGACAAGAAGAAAAGAGGAATAGTTGCTGGGATTTTTCTTGAGAAATTTTCTTGACTGGTCAGTAACTGAAGTTTTTCCATGCCTTAAAGCTGTTATAACTAATAACTACATGTTAGAAGGTGGGAGTGTGGGACCATTTCTCTGACTAGGTTTTGAGGGAATATTTCTCCTAAGGATTTATAGCACTTAAGATTTAAAAAACTGTTCACTCTCCAGAAAGTGAAACTTGGGGTAAACTTAGAAAAATGTGTAGACACAAGTTTGAGTGAAATTTTAGACTGAAGTGTGGAAGCTCATTCCAAATGTGTTTTCCAGATTTAGCTCTGGTACCCAATGTACAAATTCCTGCTTACCTATGTAATATCTTGCCTATCTATGTGCCATTTGAAATACTATAGTTGTGTAAGAACAAAAACAATGGTTTGAGGTCACAAATTTAAAAAGGAATGAGTACAATCTATTCTTTACTACTTGCATTTATCAGAGTATCAATATAAATAATTAAAATTAGTTTAAATACTAAAAACTAGATACCCTAGTCACCTCTCCAGCCAAGTAGATTAAAAAAAATCCTGAAAACTGCAAAGTATTCCAGTTAATCTATTATTTTTGTGTGTCTGAATGAGACCACTACTACCAGGTAAAGGTCCCTTAGGAAAAAAAGAGCCTCATGAAAGGTCACTTTAAAGGGGAAAGACTCTTCACATATGGGCATTTAGCAGATTGGTGCTGAGGGTTCTCTTGGGAAGTATAATGGTAAAGTAGCAATGGGATGCATCTTGAGCTTAGAGAATTAGGTACCAAAGGCTGATGTTGCCAGAAGTGAACTATTTCATTGTCTGGAGAGAAGGCATTTTCCAGATAAAGGTGAGAAGGCATTTTCCAGATAAAGGTATGAAGGCTGCCCACAAGAATTTTGAACAAGAAAATACTTCTCCTTGACCTCTCTGTCATCTTGGGTTTTCAATCTGAACAAAAAGATACTAAATGGCAGAAATACCCTGAAATTTAGACGCACTGAAGCACTGGATGACTTCTCTGTTGAGCATCTCAAGCACTGTTAAAGATACTGTGTTGTGATGCAAAACAGGCATTTGACTAGAAGTCATGGCAGTCTTGGGTTTTAGCGTCAGCTGTTCTTGTTCAGATCATTCCATTCTGTGATTATTTAGTTTATTTAATTATATAATAATCCCTCTTCTAAAATAAGAGAGTTTAAAATGAGTATTACATTATAGTCTCTTCTAGTTTTTAAGATTCAAAAGCAGAATGATTTTCACTTAAGTTTTAACTTGTTTTGTGGGGATACTGGCAAACATTCTGTCACCTAGTGGTCACATTGCAGGTTTTGCAGCTAGGGAATCAAGGAAATCAGTTGTCCCACAGAGCAGCTACTCTTAAGGATGCACAATTTTGGGAACTATGGTTTTATTCCAGGGGCCGGATATCAGCAGCTGCAGCAGAGGAGAGAAGGACAAGTGCTCCCTGCTTAAGATGGACTGGGTAGCTACCTGGTTGCCCCGGTTATCAATTAAGAGGACTCTTACCTCTCAGGATGTCTCTGGAAATATCCATGGGGGCCTACCTACCAACAAGTTGCCAGCTTCCCCAGGTAAGCCAGCTTCCCTAGGTAAACTAAACCTGAAAGTGGTCAGAGTAGGAGAATGACTGCTAGAATACTCAAGTGAGGAAAGAAGAGGGATCCAATGAGGTACCGATGATGGATATACCTAACCCAGGGTCTCTGAACACTCCACAGAATCCAACTGTTAAAAAGCATAAGATAAAGTATAGTGAATCAGAATCAGAGGGAAGCCTGGCCTTCAGATTCTAGGGGAAGGCTTCTGTTCCCCCAAGTTAGGGTACAACCCATGAGCTGAAGCCTGTGAAGCCAGAAGACAAGAAAAGTATTTTAGCAGCCAGTAGTCTCTGCAGGGAAGAATATAGAACCTGTGTCAATGGGGCCAACCTGTCTTGGATTTCAGACACTCTTAAGATTTTGTACTCCAGGAACTTTAAATAAAAGATTAATCTGAACAGGAATGGGTAAACTCTCCTGGCAAAGAATAAGAGTGAGTCCCAATTTGAAATGGGCAGAAATGTGGAGTGTATACATTTCTAGATAATGAGCACGAGCAAATGGTCTCCTCAAGTAGGGTGGATTTTGCCCAAAAATTCTATCATTATTTGTTATATTATTTTTGAACATGAAAAATGAACATAGGGTCAGCTCTTTAGAATTTGGGAATGCACTCTATGGGTCAATTTTCTAGAAAAGAGAAAACGGATTATGATGATATGCCATTTTGGGACAAGTTTGCTGATAATCTTAAAGGTCCACAGAAACCTGCTCATGTTATTTATGAAAGACCCAGTAATTCTGCATTGAGAATGCAACTTAAGACAGGAAGACTGTTGGCTGTCATTTATCAAAGAAGGTTTGTATGTTGCTTTAAAAACTTGGAATGAGGTGGTTGTAGGTTACTTTCCCTAATTGGTTTTCAGGAAAGTCTATCAGCCCATTCCCTCAGACATTCAGGTTTCCATTTTTGAGACTCCTATTGTTCTCTGGTTTTAGAGGAAAATCTGCCAAGCTCCAGAAAGTAGTCCTAAATAGCATAGATAAGATAAAAGATTCAGCTTCCTTTCCCAAAGAGAAAAACAGCAGTGCTTATTATGCCTGCATTTTCCTTTACCTCTCACTTGGAATATAACCTTCGAGTGACTGGTGAAGAGATGGGGGAAACAGCCATCCCAGCCGACTCAGACATCTTGAGGGGTAAAGGAAACTGAAGGGTTCCAGAATGTGTGGTACCTGATAAAGCAGAAGGCTGAGTTCTTGCCCCATAAACATTTAACAGACTGAAAACTAGGGATGGACACAAACTTTACAAACTATGATGTGCGGTAGGGTGACTAGTTGCCAAGTTCACCATTTAGCATCCATTTTGGAGATCGGATATACTAGAAGAGGAGAAGAAACAGGTAGGTTTACATGCCATTTGAATTGGTACATAGACCATAAATTAAAGATATAAAGCTGTGATAAATGAAGATAAGAGTACATTTTAAAAATTAGAATACTTTAAAATTTTTATTGATATATTAGTTTCATTAAAATTGGAAGTGCAAGGATTATACATTCAGAAAATATAAAATGTACAAGAATTTCTCATATTTGTACCTAAGAGAGTGACTGAGAATAAAATAAAAGTGAGTTTTGTGAAATCATGGACTCTCAAAATCATGTCTAGTAGAATGGTCTAACTTGAATGATTTGTCAACAAGTGCCCTCAGAGGTCAGTGAAAAATTTCTTACAATGGATGGAAATTTAAGCATTACACAAGCACAGAGTTTCTTCTCACTTCAAATATGAAAACAGTATGTATACAGAAATTTACTTAACTTGACAAATAAGCTCTGATATAAATAAGCTCTCATCTTCCCTAAAAGAGTAATGCCTTTTTGCTCTAATTCAATTCCACATAAGATTAGTTGAAAAATAAATCTGATGTAATCTTTTCTTGATGCCACCAAAAGTCTGATCACTTGAATATTAAACTCAAACTCCACAATCTTAAAAGTAGCACTAACATATCAGCTTAAATGCCCAGAATAGGAATGGGTTATTCTTTTTAACTAGTATAACCTTCCTTAGCTTTGCCTGGTGAGCTCATCTTCCAGTTCAAACATTATTTAATGTTTTAAAAAGTTTTACAGAACTTGAACTCTTCAAAGGGTGGGGGAGGGTTCCCTCAAAGGAAAATCAAGTTGTTTACCAAAGGTAGGAATAAAAGAGGCAGGTATTTGTCTCATTAATCTAGGCTTCTCCATTGTAGCCTAGCATTGTATGTGGCACATGAAAATTCCTCAGTAAGTGCTAAATGGAAGAATTAAATCAGATGGCTCTGGAGTGACGACCCTTTCTGTGTCTTCAAACTTGTCACTTTTCTTTGGTTCCCATTTATGTTTGACAAATAGGCATGTATGTTTTTAAACAGTTATCTGCCTTTTTTTCCAAGAGAGGAATTCTCCCATTCAACCTACTATCTCAATATAACTGGATAACCTCATCCCACTCAGAAATAGGCCAGATTCCATTGGGTTGCACATTGGGAGGAGAGCGCTTCCAGTCCCATGTCTTTACAGGAATCTTCCAGGTCTTACCATAGTTGGCTTCAATGTATTCGAGGGTTTCACAGGGCACATGAACCTTCATGTCTACAAACTCAGTCCAGCAAAGTGTAAACTTGGGAAACAGGTATCTGCAGCAAAACAGAGGGATTAAGCTTCAACAGTGGAAGGTCTGGCTATGGAATCCAGCTGCTAGTGCATTATTAGCTGAAGGACTGTACTCTCCCATAAAACAGCTTTGGAAATAGAGTGGATATTTAATTGTTTCTGACTGTCCAGAACCCCTTTCCTCTTCTAATGTTAACAGTGCCCCAATTTTCCTTCCCTGTTGCAAGTCCATAAGATTGACAAGAGGCTGACCTGATCCCTAAGCTCCAGAGATGGGTAAAAAAGACCCAGGCCAGTAAGTTAGTGATTGAGGCAGCAGCCTGGGGCTTCTGTTGGAACTATCGAGGAAAAAAGTGTCAAAACAAAACGTTGTCCAAAGATAGATGAAAATGATCATTTTCTTTTCTTTCACAATCTGGATTTCCCAAGAATACAGAGTAAGCAGGACTCCAAGTTGTACTTCCAGGCTTTTCCTTTGGTTCCATAGCTTACGTGATCCTACCTGTGGTTTCTGCCTTTCATCTCAAATGCTAAAGAACATCTTTAAACCAGCCCAAGAAATACAAGTTATAATGATTTTAACTATATCTATTGTAGAACTAAGTCAATTAGTAGGTAAGTTTCAGAAATTAAACCAGGTTGGCCATGGTGGCTCCCAGCTCTTTGGGAGGCTGCAGTGGGTAGATCACTTGAGGCCAGAAGTTTGAGACCAGCCTACCCAACATGATGAAACCCCATCTCTTCTAAAAATAAAAAGAAATTAGCCAGGTGTGGTGGTGTATTCCTGTCATCTCAGCTACTCAGGAGGCTGAGGCAGGAGAATCACTTGAACCCCGGAGATGTAGGTTGCAGTGAGCTGAGATCACACCACTGCACCCCAGCTTGGGTGACACAGTGAGACCCTGTGTAAAAAAAAAGTATAAAACAAACAGAAATTAAACCAAAACATGTTTCTTAAAAGTACTTTGGATCAAATAAAGTAAATTCTGTATACTATAAAGGAAAGCTAAAACTAGCAGGTCTGTTTAAGTTACATTATAACTCTACTATATATTCTGCATTTTTTTTCTGAGAAATGTTTCAACGTGGGAAGAACTTTCAGTAATGAGGTTTGAAGGGGCAATAGCAGACATTATAGAAATTTAAAATATCAGAGGATTAAAGAAAGAACAGGGAAAAGCCAGGTTTTAAAATGTAATCATATTGTGGAAATGGGATCTAACTGGGATGTTCTCCAAGAAAAGGTCAGTTCTCATATATCCTGCCTTTGAATATCGTATTCTACCACCAAATGAACATAAAGTCATACATAAAAAGGAGAGGCTGAACAAATTCTAAAGAGAGCAACAACTCCCTTCTACTCAAACTCAGTTAATGGACAATCCCAGCTGGCTACTGTGAAAAGGCAGTCACAGAAAATCTCATAGCTGAGAAATAAGATACAGCTTAGCCCCACCATCTGCTGGTCCCAATTTTACTTTGCACACTCATGTTCACAGAATTGCTTATTTTGTCATCACACATAACGATCCATCACCAGCCTCCACCCTCTCTAATCAGATGCTGGTTAGCAGAATGTCCACCTGTCTTATCCTACCAAGTTGGCACACTGAGTTGAATTGAGGCAGAAATCATGGTCTATCCTGTAATACAGGCCAGGAAACTTCTCTAAGAATTATCCTTTGTGGTCTCATCCGCTGAAAGAGGGAAAAATAATAATAGATAACAGGATAGATGCGGTGAAAGAGAATACTACAAATTTTACAAAAGCAATGTTTTGAACAATGAAGGATTTATGAGCAAAACCAAAACATTTTAAATACATAAACAATGTGAAAATAATTCAAAGTCAATTTAACTCAAATGTTGATTTTTGTACTTAAACAGAAACCTCTCTAAACCCTTTATGGTTTTCTTTTCCCCAATTATTTTTCAATCCATTCAGCAAAAAGAAAATCCCAGCTTCCTAGGAGAAGAGGAAAAATAAACAATAAAATGTAAAAACTAATTATAAAATAGCATTGTGGAGAGGAAGTGAAGGGGGGTGAATGACACAGAACAGCACATACCATGTACCCTGTCCAGGCAACCAGTAAATAATGGCTAAGACTAAAATACACCACGGGTCTGCAATGTTATCTTAACTTTTATAGCTAAGGTTAAGTTTAGCTGAGCCGTTTGTACTTTAAGGCCCTGGGACTGGATCCAACATGTGAACAGGTTTAAATTCAGACACAGGCAACTCTTTAAATCAGACTACAAGTTTAAGAGATTTTATTATCACACACACACAAAAAAATCCTGCCATCCATTTTCTATTTCATGTCACTTTTACTTCATATTATCTTTACATAAAAGAGTAGTTAAATAGTTGGAATAGACCATTTTTTTTCCCTCACAGATATCCTTAAAATCTACAGAACTCTTGGTGGTAGTTGGATAATTTTATCAGTTTACATAAAATCATTTTAAGTATAATTTATGAACATAACTGCTAAATTAAAAGGAGGTTCTTCCACCATCCTAGAATAACAATGTTTTATTATTACTAGGTTCAGAGAGACGGACAACATCAACTATAACTGAACCTGACTTTTTTAAACTTAAGTTTTATTACATCAACTCCAGAGTTGGAGCAGTAGAGTCACTTCTTGGCAAGAATTTCCTGCAAAACATAAATGGTTTATTCTCACTACCAATTTTTTCTTCTTAACTTTTAATTTCTTCTTCTCATGTTATTCCAGTGTCTAAACCCTCTAGCATATTGTTTAATGGAAGCAGGGCTAGCACACATTCCTAACTTTTTTCTGATTTTAAAGGAAAGGCTTCTAAAGATTTATCATTAAACATGATTGCTCACTCTAGATTTTTTTAATATTCTCTTCATTAGGTTAAAGAAATTTCAGATTCCTTTTTTATTTATTTTTTTTTTTTGAGACAGGGTCTCGCTTTGTTGTCAGACTGGAGTGCAGGCTGGAGTACAGTGGTGCTACCTCAGCTCATTGCAACCTCCATCTCCCAGTCTCCTGCCTCAGCCTACAGAGTAGCTGGGATTCCAGGCACACACTATCACACCTGGCTAGTTTTTCTATTTTTAGTAGAGACATGGTATCACCATGTTGGCCAGGGTGGTCTTGACCTCCTGATCTCAAGTGAACCACCCACTTCTGCCTCCCTAAATGTTGAGATTACAGATGTGAGCCACCATGCCAAGCCCAGATTCCTTTTCATCCAAATTTGCTGAGAGGTCTCTCTCCTTTTGGCTAATTATAAAACTTATTAAAAAATTTTAATGTCATCTATTAAAACAATCAGTGTTTTTGTTCCTTTAATCTTTTAATCCTTTAATATGGAATCCCTTTAAACCTTTAATAATTATATTAGTATAATATATAGTTATACTAATATGTACCCACTACAAAATTCTATTCATTTAGTATTTTTTCACTGTATTCACTGAGACAGTAATTTCCCTTATAATTTTTTTTTTTTTGGTATTGTCCATGTCCACTTTTTCTATCACTCTCATAAAATAGTTACTTAGTTTTATATTTTTCTATTGCCTGAAATAAGCTGTACAATACAGGGATAATCTGTTCTGTGAAGGCACAATAAAACTTTGCAATAAACTTTCTAGGTTTTAGTACTCTCTGGTAGGGAAAAGAAAGAGAAAGGAGGATTTCTGATTACTAATTCAATTTCTTGAATGCATATAGGTTATCTAGATCTTTTTGAGTTGATTTTTCTAGAAAATTTTATCATTTTCACATTTTAACTATCACATTTACTGACCTAGTTATCTACCTCATTTTTTTCGAGTCAGTGTAACACAGCTGAGTATAAACTAAAGCCAGCCATCCCAGATTTTTATTTTTTCTTAATCAATCTTGCTGTTTTACTAGTCTTTAATTTTTTAAAGGCAGAATTTGGATTTGTTGGTCTTTGATAATGTTTATTTTCCATTTCATTAATTTCTTTTCTTGACTTCCTTCCTTCACTTTCCTTGACTCTGTTGTTCTTTTATTTTAGCTGAATGCTTGTTTTTAAATCTACTTTTTCATACTTAATGTTTTAAGGCTATATACTTATTTCTACCCCTAAACTACAGCCTATAATGTTTTGTTTTTTATATTTAAGATGGAGTTTCCCTCTGTTGCCCAGGCTGGAGTGCAATGGTGCCATCTCGACTCACTGCAACTACTGCCTCCCAGGCTCAAGTAATTCTCATGCCTCAGCCTCCTGAGTAGCTAGGATTATAAACGTGTGCCACCATGCCCAGTTAATGTTTGCATGTTTAGTAGAGACAGGGTTTTGCAATGTTAGCTAGGCTGGTCTTGAACTCCTGGTCTTGTGATTTGCCCACCTCAGCCTCCCAAAGTGCTGAGAGTACAGGTGTGAGCCACGGTGCCCAGCTCCAGCCTATAATTTTTAACATGTAGTACATTCATCATCTTTAAGTCTTAAATATGCTATAATTTCTATTATGACTTCCTTTTTAATTAATGAGTTATTAAGGAGGATGTTTTTAAATTTTCACTCATTTTAAAGATGTCTTAATTGCCAGTTTCTAATTTAATTCCATTGTGATCATAAATGCTATCTACTGAAATAACCATGTAGTTTTTTCTTCTTTAATCCATTAACATGGAGAATTATACACACACAAGAAAATTTTTATTAAGGCTTTGAAACTTCTTAAAATTGACTTTATGATATAGTATACAATCAACTTTTGTAAATGTTCTGTTTATAGCTGATAAGAAAATATATTCCCCATTTATCGGGTAAAGACTTTATATGTATAAAGTCAAATAAATCAAGCCTGTTAATTTTGTTCAAATCTTCAATATTTTTACTAATTTCTTCTTTTTTAAACAAGCAGTTTTATTTTGAGATAGGGTTTGCTCTGTCACCCAGGCTGAAGTGCAGTGTCCAATCACAGTTCATTATAACTTCAAGCTCCTAGGCTCAATTGAACCTCCCAATTCTGCATCCTGAGTAGCTGGGACCACAGGTACATGCC